TTTTAGGCAGTTGGCCATACTGTGAAGGTCTTTGTGGTGAGAAATAAAGTTTGAGGTTTTTTAAAGAGTTTGATGAACAAATATTTTGTGATGGCTTTCTTTCTGAAGGTATTTCCCCCTTTTAACATTTGAATAATTTTAACAATTTCAATTAACCTTGACACTTCTTTGCTTTGGGTTTAGAGTTTTTTGAAATGTATTGGCTAGATAGAGACCTAACTTAGTACTCCAGTCTAGGTAAGTTTTAATCATTTGCTTTGTGTAGCTTACAGGAGGGTAGTAAGTTCTTGTTAAGTCAGAGGTTGAGAAATTAAGAAAAAGGCTTTGGGATGGGGTATGAAGATGTAAATAGCAATGGCCATTAAGGCCCGAGATGCAGGAGGTGTAAGATCATGACTTCAAATTACTATGGTATGGTGAGGGTTATGGAAAACACAAGACACAAATTACAAGGGAGAAGGACTGCAGTATTTCCCCTCATGGAACAACCTTTCTAATATTTAAGTTTCACTGTATAGATTCAAGTCAGTGGCATCCTTTGCCTGCTTTTCAGCTCCCCCCTAAATCCTTCCCCAAGAAAATTTCTGCAGTTATGTTACTTTTTCATTTTTTGCAGCTAAATTTTGAGGAGTTTTAGCAAGGTTTTTTTCTTTTAAACTACCTGATACATTGACCTTAATAGCAAGATAAATATTAAGTAGTCCCCATTATTGTGTATAGGTACTCTGAGGATAATGAGTATATAAGCACAGGCAAGAGAATGAAAGCAAATCTGTTTACAGAGTTAGGCTGTATTTAAGATACTGAAATTTCTGCCAAACAAGGAGCACAGTAAAATTTCATCTGCCATTTATGTTGTTCTTAATGTTCTTTAATTTAGCAGACAAGATAGTTTAGTTGTAATTAAACTCTTCTAATAATTTTGTTCCCAAGGTTGTGGCATAAATCACTTTATTGTGTACTTTCCTACATCTTCACTGTCTCCGTATTTCCTGTATAATTCTTCCATAAACAATCTTTGGGATGCAGGAAAACTTCATGCTGTAAATTATGTCTTGTCTATGTAATTTTGAATATATGCTATTGAATTTCTCTTTTCCCAAGTCTTAGTCAGGTTTTCTGGTTTTCCTGGTGCTGTTTCTTTCTTCAGTGTGCATACTCTTCCTGCTGTGGTAAGAAGTGGTTTTTTCCCCAAAAATAATTCTCATGGCAATTTCTCTTACCTCTTGCTGCTTTTTCAATAGGTAGATGTGGCAACTAGGCTGAATTGCCCAACAGGTATTACCGAAGGACAAGGGGCAACAGGCACACTGAAAAAAAAAGAAATTACATTTAAACCTAAGAAAAAGCTTTTTTTATCATCACTCAACACTGCTTGAACACTGAACAGGTTGCCCAGAGAGGTGATGGAGTCTCCATCCTTGGAGATGTTTAAAACCTGGCCCTTCCCAACATGCATGAGTTTAGCAAGAACAGGGGGTTTGGACTGGGTTCATGTTCAGGGCCCCTTCCCACTGCAGCTGTTCCCTGAGTCTGTGATGTGAATCTGGTTTGTCTTTATCTGCAATTCACTTTAAGACCACCACAAATTTTAGTTTCTTTGTACTAAGTTAAGCAGCCGGTCAAGTTGTAGTCATTCTGCCCTGCCCATCTTTTCACCATTTCCTCCCAGAAAATTTTCAAAAGGAAACCCCAATCAACCTTTAAAATCTTGGAATATATTTCATGAGTCTTAAGAAGGATACCTTTCTACGTGTTTACCAGGTATATTCGGTTTACCAATTCAGACTTCCTCAACAATGTTTTGTTATAGTAAAAGATGTTTCCAAGACTTGTTACACAGAGGATTAGTTTAATATAAGTAAAGATATTACCTGGGGGAAAGTACGTTTTTCCAAACCATCCTTTTAGGATTTAGAAGGAGAATGAGGTAGCATAAAAATTGCAGCTCTTAACTACAAGAGGTTGCAGGTTCTCTCTCTCCCATCAGCATAACCCCGTTGTGTATTTTGTATGTGACTTTCTGTTTGAATGAATGAACTAGTATAGATGTGAATTTCCTAATTTTGGTAAAAGCAAACAAACAATCAATTATAAATATTGGTATAACATTCAATTAGAATTTTCAACAGAACAAGAAACATTTCCTAGAAAACTGTTAACCCGCTAAGAAAAAATCCTTGTGGGACAGAAGGGAAGCACTGGAGGAGCTCAAGACCCCAGTGCATTGAGACAGAACCGAAGAAACTGGAAGCCCATTCCAAACTGTCTTTTTTCCTTTTGTTACTAACTGTTTTTTCAAAACACAGTATGGACTTTTATTCTTCTTAACCTTTTTTTTAGTCTTGCTGTTTGACTTAATAAATAGTACTCTAAACAATAGGATTTTTATTAATGTACTTCATGACCATAGAAGAGCATGTCATAGTCATACCCTAGTTCAGTTATCTTACTGACAAGTAGTTTGTGTGATTGCTTGTACTGTAAGGTCTGACCTTAATAATACCTGTGATTATTGACCTTACACACGATGTGTTCTACCTAAAAGTAAATTAGGAGGAAAAAAAAAATCTTCTATATCATTTGTTTGTCCTATGTACATATTTTAGTTCTCTTTAACTGAATGAAAAAGTCTCACGCTGCAACAGATAATTTGGAGTACAGCATCAATACTTGGTGTAACATTAATCTGAAACTTATAAATAATAAAAAACCGAGAGGCAGGTACCTTGTTTTTGATAACAAAGAAAGGTTTTTTTGTGTTCTAAAAGTTACAAATCATGAATACACTACAAATGTGTGGATTTTAATTTTTACTGCTGACAGATGGTAAGTCCTCCAAGTTTTCCAAGTTTTTTGAAGCTTTGCACCATATTGTTTTCATTATGAAAAAAAATCGATACGGCACTGTAAGGCCCTTTTGTTTGCCCACACTATTTATATGGTGTTAAATTGCGTAGTAGCGGAAACTGCATTTAGGTGTTCCGTCTCTTTTGGGAACAGAACTTACTGTTTTTCTTCGGGACAACTTTCCTTGCCATTTGTCCATTTGTCTCCCTTGGCTTTCTCCCCGCCCCCACCGCAATGATACAGTAGTGTAGGTTGTCTTGCATCTTGAGTTAGTAAGTGGTACCTTTCCTATTCCAGCACTGTGTCAGAACAAGAAGAGGTAATTGCACGTTTCTTGCTCTGCCCTCTGCTGGTTTAGGAACCTTCTCTCATTCATCTTAGCTGTAATGTAATATTTTGTACTACCTCATATTAATATAGCTTGTCACCATCTTAAAAGAAAACACCTCACTCCTGCTTAAATTTAAAAAATAATAATAAGCAGAATTATTTAAATAGTAATACTAGAGTTTTGATCATGATTGAATAAATAGGATGCAAATACCTTGTCATAGATGGTTCTTTCAAAGATTAAATTGCAGAAGAGAACATGTTATAACTCAGCTGCTCTTTGCGTCAGGTTCCGTTTCATAAATAAGGGTTATTTTTCTGTCTTTAGCTTCTGAAATTCACAGAGCTATTTTCACAGCCACCTTTGTTTACAAAGTTGGCTAAGATAGCCCCACACCGCTGTAGCTGATGGTATGGGTTAATTTATATGTGCATGTTACATAAATCGTGAAGTTTCCTTCCAAGTACCAATTCTTTTACATAAATTTTCCTTTTATCTATCATGATTCTGTTCTTCCCTCCCCTCCCCCATTTTTATCCATATCCATTCCACAGAACATTTCATACTTAGCTGAACTAAAAATAAAACATTCAAAGGAACAGTGATCCCTCAGGTATATATGAATATAAAGCACTGTGAGCATTTGTTGGTATTAAATCTTAAAATATTTCCTCAGCATGTCTGATTTCCTGGAAGAACTTTTCATGAAATTTGGGAGAAAAAACACATTTGTGATTAAAGAAAATAAGGCAAGCAAAATTAAAGCATGAATTGTAGTCAAACCACAAATGTGTATCTTACAAATAGGAGACTTTTATTATGTCCAGTATTTTAAATTTTAAATAAGTGAGGTTTATTTTTTGAGATTCAAAAGTTGTAATAAACATTTCTGTTTTTTTACTTGTTTTAGTACATTTTAAGTATTGTCAAATTTAAGGGAGGTTTTGGGGAAATTTAGCTAGCTGTATTTACTGCTTAATAAAAAAGGAAATGGGAAGTTTCTTCTGTGTTGTTTCATTATATTTTTTTAAAGACTTGAATATGTTACTTAAATGTATTGATATCTGTTGTTTAAAATTGTCTACATTAAAAATGTTTTATTTAGCTTGCTCTCCCTTTCTGAAAACATTTATAAGATTTATCTTTGGGATTATGAATGTCATGGGTGTGACAGAGTACCTGTGTAACAGTGACTATCTTGTCACGTGCTCTTCTGTGACTTCAGTATTAAAGCCTTGCCATCTCCTCTCTTGCCTTCGTCCAGTACACATAGCTCTGCTTTGAAAATTACAACTTCTAGTCCTTTTATAGTGTTTGAGTCTTAAATCTTTTCTCCATGAGTATTTAAAAGTGACTTTTAACACTGAAGAATTGCTCTGTTGTCCTTTGGAGTGATTCACATCGAGTTTCTATGTATGATGTCTGTTTCGCTTTTCTTCAAAAGATTACGTTACTTAACCACTAGTATATCTTATGTTTTTAACTCTTGAAAGGCTCCAGGGAATATTTAAAGTAAGACTGTGTTTGTAGTTCTTTTTGTTCCTTTGTTCAGCCAGGAAAGGTACTCTAAGAAACAGCATTTGTATTATAGTCTTAAAAACAAATTAATAGGGTATGAGATTCCATAACACATACAAATCTCCAAAAAGATATTTTGAAGCCTAAGTTCCTATAAAACTAAACATTCTCCCAAGTATGAAGAAATATGGCTGAAAATACAGTTCATACTATTAACAGAATTTATCTACTGCTTATGTGATTACTTCATACAGAATATAAGTGCTTCATAGCTTCCATGTTTTTGTTTTTTTTTTTTTAGGAAGAACAGAACCGAGGCAAGCCCAACTGGGAACACCTGAATGAAGATTTACATGTACTTATCACTGTGGAGGATGCTCAGAACAGAGCAGAAATAAAACTGAAGAGGGCTGTTGAAGAAGTAAAAAAGTTACTGATACCTGCAGTAAGTATTTGTATGCAAGCCTTTGATTTCAATTTTCAAAGTTGCTTTTGAAATACAACTAATACTGCAGAAGTAAGAGTAAGCCTGCAGAGAGGCATCCTAAAACGAAGTTTAGATATTATCTTACAATACTCTAGTGATCTTTAACGTGTCTCATCCGAGATTGAATTATTCCTTACAACAGAATAGTATTTCAAAGAGATGTCTCTTTTTTTTGCCTGTTTTTTAGATACAGATGCAGGAAATTATCACCGTTAAAAAGCAAAAACTATTTGTAAACACTAGTTTTCTCACTTTCAATATTAGTATGCATCACTTTAAGGCTGGGAGAATATGACATGCTTTTATGTTTCACTTTGAGATGATTCTGATACTTTAGGAAAAGAAGGCATGGGGTTTTTTTGATCATCACATTAAACACTTTCCAAAAAGAACAAAATCCTTTAGTATCAAAAAGCTTTCCTGTCACTATACTGGGGAAAAATAAACGTAGGGAAACTGGAAAATGGGTTGTCTTTTTTATTTCCTGATAATATAAACTGCCTTCTGGTCAACTAGATAACTTAAAGCCTTTTGCAGACACTGGAATTGCCCTGTGAGAGCCCTTCTCTTAGATATTCTCTGTATTCTCAGACAAAGCAAGTGGGGCTGTATGGTGTCTCCCATGTCATTAACTTGCATCTTGTGCTTATTTTTACCACCACTTTTGTACCACTGTAAAATGATGAGAATAAGCTGTATCTTTTTCAGTGGTGGAAAAATTTTCCATATTATGAGGAAAATTTGAGATTATCTTGAGAAAGAAAGTATTAGGTGGTTTTAAAACGACTACTGATTTGGGGTGCTTAGTGAATGCTAATAGATGCAGGCTGTGAGGAAATTTGTGGTGACACGTGCTGTCTCTATAAGCAAATTTATTCGGAACACATTCTTAAAAGTTACTAAAGATAGGAAGAGAGACTTAATTCTTGAATTATCAAAAAATGGTAGAATACCAAGCAGGAGGTATGAAAAAAATGTAATTTGCACCCCTGACATTGCACAATGTCAGTTTCTGAAAGCAGGAGATCACTAAAGAAAGTAGAACTTTGGAATTTATTAACTCATTAAAGGGACTTTGAGCACATTAGAATTGAGTTTATAGTCAGGATTAGAAATGGTAGAAAGAAAAAGACTTTTTATATGGGCAAGACTTTGAAACCCTTGCGTTTGTTCTCTAAGTACTACAGAGCAAATAATTTTAAAAACATGCAGCTCAAATTTCCGTGTGATGCAGAATTCATTTTGTCGTACATAGGATTCTTTTACCTCCCTCTTATTGCTGAATAATGTGACTGAAGGGTCAACAAGATCACCTGATAGGTCACAAATCCCCAGTATGGATTGAAGTACTAATGTGTGTACTCAGTGTACATTTGTGTTATACTTGTTTTGTGGAGCTGTTGGATGGGTGTGTTTTGAGTCTCAAAAAAAATTTTAGGCATTAGTAGTTTTTTTCATTGTGGTAGTGTCAGCAGATCTTTGTCTTGAAAACACTCTGGCTCATTTAGTAACTTAATCAGTTGGGGAAGCACTGTAATCCTCATTACAGAAAAAATTGTTTTCCCCTTCAATAGAAAACAACAACACAGGTCTTAACTGTTGTTCAAATTAGAGCATCAGTTGAAATACACTTTGTCAGTTCACTTCATTATCATCTTTATATATTAGATATATAAGATGTAGATGGTGCGCATTACTTGTGCAGGAGTTAAGGGTCTGCTGGCTCTAATTTCTCAAAATTATGCCTTGCTGAAACAGGCATGTGTAGTACATGCTAATGAATTATTATATAGGTAAACTTGTTTTTTGCACCACCTATTGCATCTGCCCAATTATTATAAAAAATGGCTGTTTAATCAGATTATGGGTTCAGGCAGTTTGAGAGCTGAAAAATTCAGTTTAGTATTAAAAGATACAAATTGAAAACTTCCGAGGGAAGCCATAAACCTTCAAATAATCAGGATAACCATGAGGAGAAAAGGAAGTACTAGCGAATTATAACAATATGGGTGAAATTGTGGATGTTGGAAGATTGCAAAGATACTCTAAAATGTATGAATAGAAAACTGAAAATTCCCTTTCTTGTAGAAGAATACCTGCAACTATTACTGCTTTTCAGATAAATATAAAAGGATTAAAATTGAAAAAATATGTAAATGTATTTGTTTTATTGCAGTCCAACTTGATTCAAATTTGAGACTGTGGGAGAGAAGACTCATTCTTGTTCTTGCCATACAGTGACAATGCTTTGAGTTTCTGAGATAAATTTCAGAAATGTGTTAGTGTTCTAATGCTAAGAGATGGGAATTAGTTGCTAATTTCTTGGAATGATCAGTTATTTTTGTACTCAAGATGTTAAAAAGCCTAATTTCTTAAAATGGATTTCTCTTTGAATGTACTTGGTGAACAGACTGTTTCAGTACTAAAGTATGCTTCTTTATGAACCTGTATCACTAGTGGTTTTTTTTTTTCCTTGTGGATGTGAATTAATAGATTTTTACTAAAATGGTGGTATAGTTAAGCAGTTTATCTTTAGAAATATAAAGGACGACTTGAGCAGACTGACTGAACATGCCATTTTTCTCTCCCCAGGGAGAAGAGCCAACTTTTTTTTTAAGTGATTATTAATTTATATTGAGTTTACATTTCTTTGGTATGAAACTTTTTTTTTATTTTGACTGTACATCATGTTCCATAGGACTAATTCTTTTCCTCTTCCCGTTGTTCAGTGAGATACTGGTCATTATCTAGACCTATAAGATCATATGGTATTGCTTCTTCCATGTTTTTCTTTGAAGAAAAACAGAAACAACAAAGTAGTCTGTAGACTTCTGGGATCCCATTGAGCTGTATTGTCCTTATGCTTCCTTCTGAAGTGAATCCTGCAGATTATTGATCTCTCTTAATTGTAAGAGCTTTGAGAGTTGCGTGCTATTTGCAAGAGTTCAGTAGGGATGGGTGGTTCTCTTGCAAAGCAAAGACAAAAAGTGCTCTGGATTGTGCACTGCAGAATGTAAGAAAAAACACAGACCTTGTGTAAGTGGAGGTGCAGAAGTATACCATACGGAATTAGAGCATCATTAAGGGTTTGAAGTTGTTCTTTGAGGTCCTGGACTTTAGGGCTTAATTCCTCTGCCATAAATATGTTAGGCTTCTGCATTTCTAAGAACTCTTCTAGCTGAAAGTGTTTATATAGATACTCCTTTCAATTTGCAGGTGTCCAGGTCTCTTTAATTGCTAATTCACCTTTATCATATCCTCTGTATAGGATGAGGCACATACAAAAGAATTAAAATTACGGACAAATACTTTTTACCCCTTTTTCCCTTGATTCCACGTGTTTCCTTTCTGAGGAAAAGATTTTATTTCTGGGTTGCTACTTAGCCATTCTAATGTGGTCTGGAATCATTGTTATTTGAGTTTTCTATAGTGCTCTTCCTGTACTGGGGCAGCTGTAGTTTTACTTGGTTGCTGCCTCCATCTTCTCTGAAGACAACTACAACACAGTATTAATCAGTGATGCTCACTATCAAACTGTGTATATCATTTACCACTACGACAATGGAATTCTAAAGTTGTGATGGGTAGGAAACAGTGTTTCAGTAGATGATTTTTATTTTGTTCATACATTTGGATCTTGCCTGTAGTAGTGATTTTAGGCTTTTCAGTCTTGAATATCTTTAAATTTATGTGTATGGGAAAGTAAATGTGCTGTACATTGTGTGAATTTTATAAATAGGAATGGTTTTGATAGTGATGTTTATTATGTATTCATTCACTAACTGTTCTCCTTCTGTTTACTCCCTGTTACTAGAGATGTTATTTTGATGATATTTCTATATTTAGTCACTCCTATTTGCTTTTTCTTTGTATAACACTTGAGAATGTAATGAATGAGCAATAGTATTGGTAGAATGGTTTATTTTTCAGTTGGGTAAGCTAAAAGCATGGTAGGGCTTGCTTATTAATTAAAGTAAATTTCTAATACTTTCCTTATAGGTAGGGTTGTAAATTTTCATTATGGTTTAGTTTCATCTACTTACAGTAAACTGAAGGATGTCTTAATTTTTACCCTAAGAATTTTGTGTGCTGTGAATTTCATGGAAAAAAAAAAGATAGAAAAAAAATAAACATTTTTAACCATGCTTTAGCCTTATTTTAAAACGTTGATGATATAGTAATGCTGTACATAATTTGTTGCTCTGTAATTAAGAGTAGCAAAAGCTTGGAATTTGAAAGGTATTAGAAGATTTCATTTGTGCTAGCCATCTAAAAGGCCACAATAAATTGTGCATGCAACTTTGGCTTCCCTGAATAGCTCTTTCTAATTCATTATTGCATGGTGTGTTGGTTTTACATTTTTGCTTTCACAAGTGAGAATATAATGCTGCCTTCTATAGTTTCCCTGTTGAAATGTTGGTCATGCTGTGCAATCCATTGTTTGCTGCTTATTTAATTCAAGTCGTGAAATTAGTAAGTACTAAGTGATACAATAGCAGAAAAAGGATAATGCTGTCCTTAAAATCTTTTTAGGAAATTGCTGTATTACACCTGTTTTGTCTGTTCAGATATAAGTCTCTCACAGTGAAAGTCATGTAAATGATCAGATGGGAAACTTCACTACCCTATGGTAGTGAAGCAGCCAAACATCTTGGCAGTGACTACTGGATAACATGGTAAACTTTTTGATGTGGAGGAGAGGTGATAGCGTGTTATTTTTAGTAGTGTGAAGTGGACTTAATGTTTCCATGACAGTATGAACCAAGGGCTGCTGCAGTCCTGCCATTCCTTCATGATTTGCTGTTCCTGCCTCCTGTTTTGCATCAGAAAGTATCGGCCTTCATCTGACCGTGTAGTGAGTCCATTTGGCAGAGAGCTTAACCTTGTACTAGCTGACTTGCTACAGAGTTAGGATTGTTCTAGCACTGACAGAAGTGAGAGAATGATGATAGGCAGAC